GGAGGGGGGAGGGGGGAAGGGGGGAGGGGGGAAGGGAGGGAGGATCATAGGGGGGGGGAGGGGGAAAATATAGTTTGTGCCAGTTTTTTAAAACAACATGAATGCACTTGTATACTGTTGCCTTTTTTTTTCTTTAATTTTAGTATAAAATAAGAAGCCGAATATATCGATGAATAGTAGAAATACACCGAAGTGAGGAGCAGAGGGAAAGAAGAGGGAGGGGCAGAGAGGGAGCGTGAGAGGAATGGAAGGAGGGTGAGATGGAAGGGAGGGGGAGAAAGGAGCGTTAGAGGGGGAGGGGAAGTAGAAGAGTTAGAGGGGAATGTTGGAGGGGAGAAAGGAAAGTTGGAGGGGGGAGAAAGAAAGGGTGTATGGAGGGTTGAAGCGCTATGTTGGTTTTGTATTTTGGGGAATACAAGGAGGGTTGTGTTTATTGCTCAATGTTATATGGCCTCAATCATGCACAGTATATATGTGATTGTATGAAATGAAAATGAAAAATGAAATAAAACATTTAATATTTAAAAAAAAGAATGCCTCCTGTACAGGAAGCAAGTGTATCGTCTGTCAAGATAACATTGCTTTCTTATGTTATATGGATATGTATTTATCCTTCAGAATAACCCTGCAGGATTGTTTTAATAAAACAATCAAGAACATTAACTATCTGGTTCTAGTATCTAAGCACTGTGAAATCCAGAAAAAACAAGTCAAGTAAACCAGGCTGTTGTATTCATTCATATGAGCCTGTTGTTTTCCAAGGTGTGTTGTAATCAGACTGACTACTTTACACAGCTTAGAAATTACTTTTCACAGCTTAGAAATTACAGCTTAGAAATTACTTTTGGACTTTGCCTTGCACTGAATCTCATAAAGTAATGTATTTATTGTACCTTTTAAGGAGAAGTTGATGAGTTACATTTGATTCTACTTCTTGAAAGCCAGATAAATATAAATTGGCTTATGGATATTGTATGAATATATAGGTTTGGATTGTTTACCTTTCAAAAAATTTATCAGCTTACAGTCATGGGTGTCAAACTCGATCACCTCACAGGTCGGATCATGACGTACCATGATTTTTTTTTGCCTTGGTAGAGCTGGGATGGGTGTGGCCTGTGCGTGACATATCTGGCCCATGGACTGCTAGTTTGACAGGCCTGGAATAGATTAATTCTAATATCTATGGAGGTATCGGTCATCCAAGTCAGGTTGTCCCAAATGTGCTTTTTCAGGAGGCAAGTGGGCTTTCTCATTTTTCTTTGAAGATGTTTTGCTTCTTATCCAAGAAACTTCTTCAGTTCTCACTGGATGGTCAGACGCCATTCCAGAGGTCTTCCATTCCCCACCATCCAGTCAGAGCTGAAAAAGCTTCTTGGATGAGAATCAAAATGTCTTCAAAGAAAAATGAGAAAGTCCAATTGCCTCTTGAAAAAGTACCTTTGGATGAACTCTAATAAGAATAATGTAAGAACTGGATGGATAATAATTAAAACAAAATAAAACAAATGAAAGAAAGGTGTGATTTTATGGTCTTCAAGATATTGCTGACCTGATTTCTGATACTGTGTAGTAACATCTAATATCCTCTACTTGTGTATTAGTACAACAAACACTTTTGTCTTCCACTGTAACCTATTTTATTAGCCCTTTGATGGTTTTTGGCACATAATGCATAGAAGACAGTTACCTTTAAGCAAAGAAACCAGCTGAAATAGATTAGCTTTGCCTCCACACTTTGGGAAATCAAGCATGTCATCTTCATTTTGACTCCCAATGTAGATCACTGTCCTGGATGTCAAATTAAAGTGCCAAATGTATTGTGCTTCCTTTACGCAAATCTACTATAAACTCAATGAAACAATTACCGGTATTTATAGAAACCTAGCTTGTACAGGTAAGAATAATAGTTTGAAATATGAGAAAAAATTCAACAAGCAGTCACGTTATGTGTTAACATCATGTCTATCTTTAAAAAATTATTTAATGGCCTTATACATATAGTATAGGTGATCTAAGTTAAAATTTTGCACTTACCTTGTAAATAATCCACCATTTAAAGAATGTAATAGATAAAATGTCCAAGGAAACTTTTCATTCTCATCTTCTTTAAACCAGGCACAACTGAAAAACTGAATAATTATTGATGAATACAGTCCCGTGAGCAATATTAGAATACCTTTCAAGTACTGGCCTTCACACAAAAAATTCTTTACCATCCAGAGATCTGTTCCAATATCAAATGTATAAACCAAAAGCCCCAAAAGAATAATTAAAAAATCTACTTTAGAAAAACTTTTTTGTTGTTTTTTTACAATTGACCCCTTCATTGTAGGTAAAACAATTCAAAATGTTTTTCTTAGTAGAATGAAACATGGGTGGGGTTTATGTTGGTGAAAACAGCAGGTTAAACTAAAAATTCAGGTCCACAAGTGTATTATGAAATGGATTTGACCATTAAGTCGCCATGGAGAAAGTAACAGCATACAGTTTAAAAGATGCGGGCCAAGGTTAATGCTTCCTTATGAGCCCTGAAAAGAAAAAATAATAAGTATCTAAGTAATTCAGAGGTTCATAAAAACAAATTATCAATCTCAATAACTATAAAAGAAAAACTTATGTAAAGAAAGTTTATGTGAATGTGTAATCCTGGGCATGTTTTAACTGAGTTCAAGTAGATATTTCCTCAGGAGGAAATACACTAGCTGAATAGATGAAAAAAAGAAACATTAGAGACTTTTTAAAGTCCCAGTGGAAATTTTCTTTTTTCTACTTCTCATAATTCCCTAAGGCATTTTAGCACTTGGTAATATAATTTTATTACAAAAGGCTCTAAATTCTTCAAATAAAATTTAAAAAAACATTCTAGGTTAAAAATAAAACGCATGATAGAACATACATGCTGCTGGAAGACAATATATTTCTCACACAATAGGAAGGGCAATCTTGTCTTTATGATTCCAGCAGGCTGGGCATTTCCTCCAAGAAAGCTACGTTTTATGTGGAAAGGCCCAGAAAACTTCATTTCTCACTGCAACTTAACAATATTGCCTACTACTTCATACTATCTGCCTCACTCTTTTCTTAGAGGGTTGGGTTATTATGATATTCTAATGCCTGCCTGATATTATTTAACTTGAATGCTAATAATTACATAAAAATCAGAGGTGGTATTCTGCCAATTCAGATCGATTCACCCAAATCAGTAGGGGAAATCATTGGTGGGCTTCATCAGAGATCAAGCAAATATACATTGTTGGCCTGTTGATACAACCACAAATAAATATTTTGGATAACATAAATGTAATTTTCCTTTTGCTCAATTAATACTTTTTTTCACCTGACTTAAATTCAGTGTAGTCAACTCATTAGGCCTCTTAATAGTATGGAGTATTTTCTATACTATCATAGCATAAACTCTTTAGATACCACTAAGGAAATTAATTAATCTCAACAATACTTTAATTAAAAAAAGTTTTACCTTAAAACTTGCCAGGTAGATATACATTTTCAATAGAAAACTCTATATCCTCGGTAGAAAGAAACAATGAATGCTTTGCATAGTTGAACTTTGTAGTCTGTACCGAGAAAAGGTTTGGGTGTGGACAAAATAGAAACGGAAACTGCTTTCATCCACAAGCCAGGTGATACTATAGACAAAATGGGAGGTACGAAAATTTAAATAAATCTTTTGGTATTTAGATATAGTGGCTAAGGCATCAGTCTAGAAACCAGGGGACTGTGAGTTTTAGATCCGCCTTAGACACTTAGATACTAAGACTCTCTCTCCCTCCCTCCCTCTTCTCTAGGAAGAAAGTAATGGCAAATAACTTCTGAAAACTGCAGGAGCTAGTACAGGAAGTTGCCAAGAGTCAACACCAACTCAAAGACACCATAGAAAATTTGTTTGAATAATCATTTCTTTAGTTGACTTGAATTGTTTATCTTTTTAATCTGATTCCCGCTGTCTATGATAACTTAATAATGGAATAACAGAGTTGGTAGAGACCTGGAGATCTTCTAGTCCAACCCCCTGCTCAAGCAGGAAACTATACCATTTCAGTCAAATAGTTGTCCAATCTCTTCTTAAAAACCTCCAATGTTGGAGTACCCACAACTTCTTGAGGCAAGTCATTCCACTGATTAATTGTTTTCAATGTCAGGAAATTTCTCCTTAGTTCTACATTAGTTCTCTCCTTGTTAAATTTATCCATTGCTTCTTGTCATGCCTTCAGGTGCTTTGGAGAATAGGTTTTCTTCTTTGTGGCATCCTCTTGGAACGCTAGTTCTTCTTTTCATTAAACTAGACATACCTAATTCCTGCAACCGTCTGTATGTTTTATCCTCCCTTATCCTCTAATCACCTTTGTTGTTGTTCTCTGAACTCTTTCTGTGCCTCAACATATTTTTATATTGTGAAAATTGAATTAAGCCTTTTTCTTGATTTTTCTGCAAACTAGATTTCTTTTAATGGCAGTGGTATTCTAGTTGATTTTTGGTATTTGGTATTTTATTTGGATTTATAGGCCGCCCTTTTCCCTGAGGGGACTCAGGGCGGCTTACAATCATTAGGGAGGGGGGTGCAATTCAAAACAAACAATATGTGAACAAAATAAATAAAGTAATAAAAATACAACTTGCATTCAACATTCAACACTCGGGTGGGGCAAATTAGAGACTTATCCCCAGGCCGGTAAGGATCGCCCAGTCTTAAGGGCTGCGCG